GGTGTCTATTTAGGTCCTTTGCCCATTTTTTGATTGGATTGTTTATCTTCCTTTTGTTAAGTTGTATGAGTTCCCTATAAATTTTGGAGATTAGGCCCTTATCAGATATAATGTTGGCAAATATGTTCTCCCATGTAGTGGGCTTTCTTGTTGTTTTGTTGATGGTTTCTTTTGCTGTGCAGAAACTTTTTATTTTGATGTAGTCCCATTTGTTTATTTTCTCTTTAGTTTCCAATGCCCTAGGATCTGTATCGGTGAAGAAATTGCTTCGGCATAGGTCTGAGATTTTGTTGCCTTTGGATTCTTCTAGTATTTTTATGGTTTCCGGTCGTATATTTAAGTCCTTTATCCATTTTGAGTTTATTTTTGTGTATGGTGTAAGTTGGTGGTCTAGTTTCATTTTCTTGCATGTATCTGTCCAATTTTCCCAACACCATTTATTGAAGAGACTATCTTGACTCCAATGTATGTTCTTGCCTCCTTTGTCAAATATTAATTGAGCGTATTGGTTGGGGCTGATTTCTGGGCTCTCTATTCTATTCCATTGATCTATATGTCTGTTCTTGTGCCAGTACCAGGCAGTTTTGAGAACAGTGGCTTTGTAATACAGCTTGATATCTGGTATTGAGATCCCACCTACTTTCTTCTTTCTCAGGATCGCTGCAGCTATTCGGGGTCGTTTTTTGTTCCAGATGAATTTTTGGAGAGTTCGTTCTAGGTCTGTGAAATATGCCGTTGGTATTTTAATGGGAAGTGCGTTGAATTTATAGATTGCTTTGGGCAGTATGGACATTTTAATGATGTTGATTCTACCAATCCAAGAACATGGTATGTTCTTCCATCTCTTTATGTCTTCCTCTATCTCTTTTTTCAACGTCCTGTAGTTTTCTGAGTAGAGGTCTTTTACCTCTTTAGTTAAGTTTATTCCTAGGTAGCTTAATTTTTTTGGTGAGATGGTAAATGGGATTGCTTTTTTAGTCTCTCTTTCTGCAAGTTCACTATTGGTGTATAGAAATGCCATAGATTTCTTGGCGTTAATTCTGTATCCTGCTACATTGCCGAATTCTTTTATTAAGTCTAATAGTTTTTTGATGGAGTCTTTAGGGTTTTTTAAGTATAATATCATGTCATCTGCAAATAAGGACAGTTTTACTTCCTCTTTTCCAATTTGGATGCCTTTTATTTCTTCTTCTTGTCTAATTGCAATGGCTAATACTTCCAGTACTATGTCGAACAGGAGTGGTGAGAGTGGGCATCCCTGTCTTGTTCCTGTTTTTAGGGGAAATGGTGTTAGTTTTTGTCCATTGAGTATGATGTTGGCTGTGGGTTTGTCATATATGGCTTTTATTATGTTGAGGTATGATCCTTCTATTCCCACCTTGCTGAGAGTTTTTATCAAAAATGGGTGTTGAATTTTGTCAAATGCTTTTTCTGCATCAATTGATATGACTATGTGGTTTTTTTCCTTCAATTTGTTTATGTGATGTATCACGTTGATTGATTTGCGGATATTGTACCATCCTTGCATCCCTGGGATAAATCCTACTTGGTCATGGTGTATGATCTTTCTGATGTACTGCTGGATCCGATTTGCTAAGATTTTGTTGAGGATTTTGGCATCTATGTTCATGAGGGATATTGGCCTGTAATTCTCTTTCATTGTGTTGTCTTTACCTGGTTTTGGTATTAGGGTGATGCTGGCTTCATAGAATGAGCTTGGAAGTGTTCCTTCCTCTTGGATTTTTTGTAGTAGTCTGAGGAGGATAGGTTTTAGTTCTTCCTTGAATGTTTGGTAAAACTCCCCTGTGAAGCCGTCTGGTCCTGGGCTTTTGTTTGCTGGAAGCTTTCTGATGACTGCTTCAATTTCTTCCATAGTTATTGGCCTGTTGAGATTTTTAGATTCTTCCTGATTAAGTTTTGGAATGTTGTATTTTTCTAGAAATATGTCCATTTCCTCCAGGTTGTCTAGTTTGTTGGAGTAGAGTTGTTCATAGTATTTTTTAACAATCATTTGTATTTCTGTGGGGTCTGTTGTTATTTCGCCTCTATCATTTCTGATTTGGTTTATTTGGGTCCTCTCTCTTTGCTTTTTGGTGAGCCTGGCTAGAGGTTTGTCGATCTTGTTTATCCTTTCAAAGAACCAGCTCTTGGTTTCATTGATTTTCTGTATTGTTTTTTTGGTCTCTATGTCATTTATTTCTGCTCTAATCTTTATTATCTCCTTCCTTCTGCTCACTCTGGGCTTTTCTTGTTGCTCTCTTTCTAATTCTTTGAGCTGTAGATTTAGATGATTTACTACCATTTTTTCTTGTTTGTTGAGGTAGGCCTGTAGAGCTATAAACTTCCCTCTCAGGACTGCTTTCATTGTGTCCCAAAGGTTTTGGATTGTTGTGTTTTCATTGTCATTAGTTTCCAGGATGTTTTTAATTTCTTCTTTGATCTCATTGGTAACCCAATCAATATTTAATAACATGCTATTCAGCTTCCAAGTGTTTGAGTATTTTGGGTTGTTTTTATTGTAGTTTATTTCTAACATTATGCCATCGTGGTCTGAGAAGAAGCTTTTTATGATTTCAATCTTCTTGAATTTGTGGAGACTTTGCTTGTGACCCAATATGTGGTCTATTTTTGAATATGTCCCATGAGCACCTGAGAGGAATGTATATTCCATGGCTTTGGGGTGAAGTGTTCTGAAGATGTCAATTAAGTCCATCTGATCTAGTGAGTCATTTAGGATTGCTGTTTCTTTGCTGATTGTTTGTCTAGCGGGCTTATCCAGTGGTGTCAGTGGTGTATTAAAGTCCCCTACTATGATTGTATTGTTGTCGATCTCTCCTTTGATATCTTCCAGGAGTTTTTTTATGTATTTGGGTGCTCCTGCATTGGGTGCATATATGTTTACCAGGGTTATATCTTCTTGTTGTATTGATCCCTTTAGTATTATGAAGTGGCCTTCCTTATCTCTTGTTATGGCCTTCACTTTGAGGTCTATTTTGTCCAATATAAGTATTGCTACCCCACCTTTTTTTTCATTTCCATTTGCCTGAAAGACATTTTTCCATCTCTTCACTTTCAGTCTATGTGAGCTCCGTCTTCTGAGGTGGGTCTCTTGTAGACAGCAAATATATGGGTCATGTTTTTTTATCCATTCATCCACTTTATGTCTTTTGGTTAGAGCATTTAGTCCATTTACATTTAAAGTTATTATTGAAAGGTACTTGTTTGTAGCCATTTCTATTTTTTTGGGCCTGTTTTCTTTCATAGCTTTTTTTTTTCTTCTTTTTACACCAGTCCCTTTAACATTTCTTGCATTGCTGACTTGGTTGTGATAAACTCCCTTAGCCTTTTTTTGTCTGTGAAGCTTCTTATTTCCCCTTCAATTTTGAACGATAGCCTTGCTGGATAGAGTATTCTTGGATTCAGTCCTTTGCTTTGCATCACTTTGTAAATTTCTGTCCATTCTTTCCTGGCCTGATGTGTTTCTGTTGAGAAATCATTTGATAATCTAATGGGAGATCCCTTGTATGTAACTTTCCGTCTCTCTCTTGCAGCCTGTAAGATTCTCTCTTTGTCCTGAACATTTGCCATGGTAATTATGATGTGTCTTGGTGTGGGTCTTTTCGGATTCACCTTGTTTGGGACTCTCTGGGCTTGTGTGACTTTTTTCTTCCCCACCTCAGGGAAGTTTTCTGATATTATTTCTTCGAATAGGTTTTCTAATCCATGTTCATCTTTCTGTTGTTCTGGCACCCCTATTATTCGTATGTTGTTTCGTTTCATGTTGTCCCAAAGCTCCCTTAGGCTCTCCTCCTGTCTTTTAATTTTTTTCTCCAATTGCAGTACAGTTTGGGTGTGTTTTGCTTCCTTGTCTTCTAATTCACTAATTCGGTCCTCCGCTTCTCCTAGTCTACTGTTGATGCTTTCAATGGTGTTTTTTATTGCAGCTATATCGCTCTTCATTTCTTCTTGGGTCTTGCATAAGTTATTGATTTTTTCATCTGTTTCTTCTTGCTTCTTGCATAAGTAGTTGATTTTTTCCTCCATCCGGTTTATGCACGCTAGGACCCTTATTCTGAATTCTTTTTCTGTCATGTTGCATGCCTCTGTCTCACTTAGCTGCTTTTCTGGCGAGTCCTCCTTTTCTTTCCTTTGGGGGTTTCTTTGCCTACCCATGTTTGATCTCACTGACATATCTAGATGTTGAGTCGTTCAGTGGCTGCTCCCTGGGTGGCAGTGGCTCCTTGGGCTGTGGTTGCTCCTTGGGTGGTTGCGGTAGCAGCTGCTCCTCAGTTGGCAGCAGCTCCTCTGGTGGGTGTTGTTCACAGCTGTGGTGGCTCTTCTGGCTGGTGGGGGGAGGCTTCACGTACAGCTGCTGTTCCTCAGACAGAGGGTGTGGTGATCAGGAGGCTGCTGTTGCTTGGATCTGCTTAGTCCTGCCAGGTATTTAGGAGAGTGTTGAATTTCCCTGCTGCTGTTGGGATCTGCTTTCCGTGGGGAGAAGCAGGGTTCCTCTAAGTTCACGTAGTCGCGCTGCTTGGGGTCCATTGATTCCGGGTTAGTAGCCGATCTCTGGATCGGTATCTTCTTTCTTTCGTGCAATTGTAAATGGTGTTGTTTTTTTTAGTCTTTTTTTCTGAGAGTTCATTGTTGGTGTATAAAAATGCCATTGATTCCCGCATGTTTGTTTTGTATCCTGCTACTTGTCAAATTAATTTATTTGTTCTAGTAATTTCCTAGTGGAGTCTTTAAGGTTTTCTATGTACAATATCATGTCATCTGCAAATGATGAGAGTTTTACTTCTTCCTTTCCAATTTAGATGCATTTTATATCTTTTTGTATGATTACTGTGGCTAAAACTTCTAGTACTATGCTGTATAAAAGTGATGAAAGCAGCCCTACCCGGTTTGGCTCAGTGGATAGAGCATTGGCCTGCAGACTGAAGGGTCCCAGGTTCGATTCCGGTAAAGGGCATGTGCCTTGGTTGTGGGCACATCCCCAGGAGGGAGTGTGCAAGAGGCAGCTGATCAATGTTTCTCTCTCATCGATATTTCTAACTCTCTATCCCTCTCCCATCCTTTCTGTAAAAAATCAATAAAATATATATTTTTCAAAAAGTTGTGAAAGCAAACATACTTGTCTTGTTCCTGTTCTTAAGGGAAATACTTTTAATTTTTGCCCATTGAGTATTATGTTGGCTTTAGGGTTGTCATATATGGCCTTTATAATGTGGAGGTATAATCCCTCTATTCCCACTTTTCTGAGAGTTTTTGTTAAAAAGGGGGTGGGGGTGCTGGATTCTGTTGAATGCTTTTTCTGCATATATTGATATGATCATGGTATTTTTATTTTTTATTTTGTTTATGGGATTCATCACATTTATTGTTTTGCAAATAGTGTACCAGCCTTGCATCCCCAGAATAAATCTGACTTCATCAGGGTGTATGATCTTTTTAACATATGGCTGGATCTGGTATTCTAATATATTGTTGAGGATTTTAGCATGTGTTCATCAGAGGTATTCGCCTGTAATTGTTTTCTTTGTAGTGTCTTTATGCAGCTTAAGGATTAGGATAATGCTGGCTTCTTGAAAGAGTTTGTAAGTGTTTCTTTTTCTTTATTTTTTTGGAAAAGTTTGAGGATAGGTGTTCGTTCTTTGAATGTTAGGTAAAATTATCCTGTAAATCCATCTGGTCCAGGACTTTTGTTTGCTTGAAGTTTTTAAATTGCATCTCCAATTTCATCAGTTTTTATTGGCCTACTCAGGTTTTCTGATTCTTCCTTGCCGGGGCTCACTAGGAGACCCTGAACGACGAATGAATGAATTCTCTAACACAGGTTTCTCTGAAATAGAGGGCTTAGACACTACTTGGCTATCACTGCCAAGTAGCTCTGTTCACTTGCCTCCTTTAGCTTATAATGTCATAACAGCTTGAACTAAAATTAACCTCTAGATACAATTAACACAGTAAGTATTCTTGAGAAAGTATGTGCTATTACAAGGTTGGGTCTTTAAAGACTAAACATAGAGGTTCTAGAAAAACACCCGGTGGATCAGACTTGTTTGTAAAAGTCAAGGTAGGGGCTGCTGCCTTCAGCAAGTCCCCCCTTCGAAAGACCCCCGTCCTTTCAGAGAATCCTCCTTATAGACATTCCAACCAAGTCCCATGCTTCCCCACACTTCCTGATTCAGTTTTGGAAGACAAAGAAAGAATCTTAAAAGCAGCAAGAGAGAGACAGAAAATTACATACAAAGGGTTCCCATTAGAATGTCAGTGGACTTCTCAGTAGAAACACTTCAGGTTAGAAGGGAGTGGCGTGAAGTATTCAAACTAATGAAAAGCAAGGAACTGAGTGCAAGACTACTGTATCCAGCAAGGCTATCTATTAAAATTAAAGGTGAAGTAAAAAGCTTTTCAGACAAAAAAAAATGTTAAAAGATGACATGTCCACCAACCTAGTAATGCAAGAATGTTAAAGGGACTGTCTTAAGAAGAAGAAGAAAAGGAAGGAGAGGGGATCATAGGCATAAAGGAAATAAAATGCCTATAAATAAATACCTATCAATAATAACCTTAAATGTAAATGGATTAAATGCTCCTGTCAAAAGACATAGGTGACTGAATGGATAATAAAATATGAGCCAAAAATAAAAAAAAAGAGGGGAAAAAAAGGATTCACCAAGAAATGAACTAAATGAAGCGGAGACATGCAATGTGTCAGAAAAAAGAATGCAGAGTAATGTGGTTCATAAACCAGATGGACAAGAAAATCAACAACCTATGCAAAAATTAGGAAGAAATCAAAAGTGATATAGCTACAGTCAAAAACGCAATGGAACCAATCCTCCGCTGTCCCTGCCAGCAGCCTGTCGCACCCATGGCGTGGCATGCCTCGCCACGTGTCGGGACCGGGGTCCAGTGAGGAGAGCCCTTCATCCTGGGAAACAAGGTGTGGCCAGAAAGGAGGCTGCCCCCACACGCTTCATGCAATGTACATTCATGGGGAACCTGTTGCTAAATCATTCATAGACGACCTGCTTCTGGGTTGGGATTTCGTACATAGCAGAGCAGCTCCCTTGCTGTGATCTATTGAAAGTCAGCACTTGACACAAGGGTTTGTAATAGATAAACAACAAAAAAGGAAAAAAGTAAAAATAATTTTAAAAAACACACAATGAAAGCTTTCAACAGTAGACTAGGAGAAGCAGAGGACTGAATTAGTGAGTTAGAAGATAAGGTAGACAAACAAGCCCAAACTGAAGAGCACCTAGAGAAAAAAATTAAAAAGCAGGAGAGCCTAAGGGAGCTTTAGGACAACATGAAACGAAGTAACATATGAATAATAGGGGTGCCAGAAGGAAAAGAAGAGCAGCAAGGATTAGAGAATCTATTTGAAGAGATAATGACAGAAAACTTCCCTGATATGGGGAAGGAAAAAGTCACACAAGTATAGAGAGTCCCAAGCAAGATGAACCCCAACAGACCCACATCAAGACATGTCATAATTACAATGGCAAACATTAACAACAAATAGAATCTTAACTGCTACAAGAGAAAGATAGAGAGTTACTTACAAAGGATCCCCCATCAGATTATCAAATGATTTCTCAACAGAAACACATAAAGCCAGGAGGGAATGGAATGAAGTATACAAAGTGATGCAAAGCAAAGGGCTGAATTCAAGAATACTCTATCCAGCAAGGCTATCAATCAAAATTGAAGGGGAGAAGAACCAAGATGGTGGCATAGTTAAACACCTGTACTTGCTGACTCCCACAACCACATCAAAATTACAACTAAAATACAGAACAACTATCATCCAGAACTGGGAAAGCTGGCTGAGTGGTAGTACTACAACTAAAGATGAAAAGAAGAAAGCACACTAAGACTGGTAGAAGGTGTGGAGTCACGGAATGGGCTGGCCCAGCACCTGGGTGTGCCACTTTTTTAATCAGAAGGAAGATTAACTCTGTAGAAGCTGCCTGGAGGAACAAAGAGTCCCAGGCCCACACCAGACCCACAGCCCAGGGTCCCAGAGCTGGGGAAAGACGATCCTACGAGCCATAAGAACTATAGACTGTAAAAACCAGTGCAAATTGGGGCTGAGTGACACACAGGCTGCTGGAGATCCAGCTGCTCCTCTTAAAAGGCCAGCACCACAAACTGAATTTACAAGCTCCCACTTCTTCTGAGCTCCAGTGCCATGTGAGGCTCTTGGGGACCCAGACATATATGGAGAGAAACTGGATTGTGGCATCGGGGCAGAAACACAGAGGTGGCATTCTTCCAGACGGAGGTGCTTGCAACTGTCATTGTTCCTGTGCTGGGACCTCCCCAGTGCAGGGTATAATTGTAGTCATTTCTGTTTGCTCCACCCTGATGATTCCCTGAGACCCCACCCTACCCAATATACAACCCCACCCAAGCTGTAAGCAGCAGCTTTTTCATATGAATGGTCTGTCCTTTCTAAGGCTATAAACCTATTAAACAAGCTGCAGCTGGTCAGGGAGCCCCAAACCTGTCAATAAAAGGCCCCAAAATCAGCACCAGCAGCAGCTTGCCTTGTTTAACAGGTGGGCCTCATCTGGGCATTTCCAAACCCAATGAAAAGAGGAGGAATCTTCAGATATGACTGTAGCTCCTGCTGAATGATCCCAGGCAGTGGCTGACTTTGCACCTCCTTGGAAACCCAAGAGCCAGTGTACCCAGTGGTTAGTGTGAGACCATACCAGATTACAACTCTTCACATCCATAAGTGACATACTCAAGGGGCAGACACAGTGAGCACCAAAGCCTCACTGAAGCAAGTCTTTCTCCATAGGGCTGTCTCCTGCACAGCTGCTCCACAACTGTAGTCATAGTTGTTCCCCACAGCAAATTGGCCTGGAGGTCAATTCCTCCCAGTGACACCAACAGCAATCAAGGCTCAACTACAAGACTGTGCACACAGCCCACAAAGGGGTGCACAAGATTGTCCACCTCAGGTGATTGGGGAGGCTGAGCCACTGGGCCCTATAGGACACCTACTACACAAGGCCACTTTATCAATTAAAGGAGACTTAGCAGCTACCCAATACATAGAAACAAACACAAGGAAGCAGCCAAAATGTGGAGACAAAGAAAAATGTCACAAATGAAAGAAATGGAAGACAGCAAACTACTGGATATAGAGTTCAAAACCACAGTCATAAGGTTACTCAAGAATCTTCTAGAAACCTCTGAGGAACTTAGTGAGATTTTCAAGGATCTTAGTGAGAATGCCAAAAAAAAAATGGAAAAGGTGCAGTCATAAATTAGGCATACTCTGACTGAAATAAAGCATAATATACAGGAATTCAACAGTAGATTAGAGGATGCCAAGAATCAAATCGATAATTTGAAATACAAGGAAGCAAAAAACACCCAACCAGAAAAGAAAAAAGAAAAAAGAATCCAAAAATATGAAGATAGTGTAAGGAGCCTCTGGGACAACTTCAAGCATACAAACATCCAAATTATGGAAGTGCCAGAGGAAGAGAGAGAGCAAGATATTGAAAACCTATTGGAAGAAATAATGACAGAAAACTTCCCCTACCTGGTGCAAGAAATAGACTTACAAGTCCAGGAAGCGCAGAGAACCCCAAACAAAAGGAATCCAAAGAGGACCACACCAAGACACATCATAATTGAAATGCCAAGGGCTAAAGACAAAGAGAGAATCTTAAAAGCAGCAAGAGAAAAACAGTCAGTTACCTACAAGGGAGTACCCATACGACTGTC